AAATAACTATTTATTAGTTTCTAAATAACTATTTAGTAATTTATTAACTAAAATAAGACTTCCTAAAAATCATGGCCCCAGCATCTATCAGTTTGACTGCTTCAGTTGCACACTGCATAATTTTTCCCTTTGCATAGGAAAAATCAAGATGCTTCCTGTGAGAATAACAGGGTACATGTTCAGTATATCAAACTCTTTTTTTGTTTATTTTTATCCAATTAATCACGACCGCTTTTGCTCAGCTTTGTGAGTTTTATTGCCCTTATGTAATTAGACATTATGTATTTCATCTTTATACATGAATATACAGGAAAGCTTACATATCCCCCCTCTTCCTTTTAGTCATCTGTGTCACCAGAATTTTTACTACTGACATTCTTCTTTTGAAAGATTCTTGTGTCATTCACTCATTATTTGCTTATTTAAATGTCGGCATATGCAGCATCAACATTAGTTTAAATATTGTTCAGATGGTTTTGTATGTCTTTTTGCATTATTCTATTATAGGATATCAAAACAGTACATAATGACAGTCTCCCTGACAGTTGTTCCATCTTTTCATGTGGGCACAGGTCACTGTTAATTCTGGTGGTGTAGTTTTTTTTGCACTGTTCAACCAGCCTCAAAATGACGAATCTTCTCTTAAGGAAGCTGCAGCTGTTATAAAGATATCATCTTCAAGGATGGCCACTCAATCAGAGCGCCTGGGCTATGAATTTGCAAAGTGGCTAGGTGTTCGAACTCCACAAGTTGTACCTTCTTTCTTCACCACTTCCTTTTTCACTATAATTAAAGCCGGGGTTTGACATTTTCTCGAATACATATTCTGGAATTTTGCAGGCCCGGGTTATTCTCAACAGTAGTCCTGAGTGGTTGCAGATCAAAGAAGCTGCGGAGAAAGCAAAAGATGTAGCAATCTCAGAAGGAGATGAAATTGGTGAGGTGACATGCTCAGAACTTCTGGAAGCTCTTGAACTAAGCCGATGCCTTTTACTGATGAAGTACGTGTGAATTGATCTTATTCTGAATGTTTTATTTATTTATTTATTTATTTATTTTGGTGTAGCACTAGCATGAATTCTGGCACACTTCTATCATTTTAGATACTGAGCCCACTCTATAGAGTTTTGAGAGTTTTAACCTCTGACTTGAAAGATTTGAGAATCTAGCGGTTGGATCTTTTTTGGACCAGCTGGTAGTTTGATAGAAGAGGATTATGATTTACATAATTAATAATTATGGGCCTACTGATAGAAGAGAATTATGATTTACATAATTAATAATTATGGACCTACTGAGTACTGGGATGCTTCACCTGTAGCATAGGGAACAAAACTGTGCTGGTGTGTGATTCTCTTCATATCAAGAACTATTACTACTAAATCTGGCTATATAACATTTTTATCTTTTCTGGGTAGTGTTTCTTATGTTCATTTCTTTATCTGTATGGGGGCTTTCTTGTGTCGAGTTACTCAAATGATGAAACATTAAAGCATGTTAATGTAATGCTAAATTATTCTTTAGTAAATATAGCCTCTAAATTTATGACTACCCATTTGCAGTTATATACATGGATCTCCTCTGTTGGAAAGCTCAAATGTGTTTGATTCCCAACAAGCTGCAGAAAAAACTGCAGCAGCACTTGGCAGGGTCATGGTGTTGGACCTTGTCATAAGAAATGAAGATCGCCTTCCATGTCGTCATCTCAGGTGGCGTGGGAACTCAGCAAACTTACTGTTAGCAGATAAGATGGCTGCTGCGAATATGGATGCACAGGAGGTGGCCTTTAATTCTCTAATCGATAGGTGCAGACCAGCGGTGATTAAAGCATTTCAAAAGGAAAGAAGAGCTTCTTCAATAGATGGCAATTTGACCCCTCCTAGGGGTTCGGGATTAGTATCACAGCGTTCTGATCTTTCTGATGTCACCGAGTCTCCAAAATCCAGCAATTTAAGTGTTAAAAGTCTAAACTTATGTGAGTCAACATCCTCAGATTTTCATATTGTGGCAATAGACTCAGGGGTCCCCCGGAGGCCACCAGCTGGAAAACGTGCAAATGACCAAGAAATTTATCCTGAGCTGGTAGAGCTCATTATCAACTGTTCTGAGTATTCATCAAACATTTTGCATGAGATAACTGGTGGTAAATTAGGATCTCCCCCTGATGATTCTGAGATGAGAGTTGATTCTCATTTGGCTAATATGACTTCGATTATTCATGAATTTCGAAATGGATTTCGTGCAGCTTTACGTGAGTTACAAGGATTTCATATATTTCTTCTCACCCTTCATCAGAAATTGGAAAACCTCTTGCGGGTGCTTATCACTATTATTGATAGAGCCTCTTCGGGGGATCTTGAAAAAGAGGAACTGGTTGTTCCTGAGTCACCATCACTAGCTGGTGGTTTCTATGGCCATTTACCATCGCAACCAGGTAGGGAAAGGTTGGTTAATGAAAACAATTTGGATTCAAAAAACAATTTGGATTCAAATGATTCAGACTTGCAAAGATCAACACCTAGACCATCATCTTCAGGGTTCAAGGAGAGCTCAGATGGCAGTTCTCCAGTTTTACGGGAGAGTTGGCAGGGAAAGTTTAGGGGCAGTGGAGAACCCCTGCATAGTCTACGGTTGGCATCAAAACTACGTGATTTCAACAAATCTGCTAAGGTATGTGATACCTATTGGATACCTTAAATATATCCTTGTTCCAAACGGAAATCTTTATTTGAATGATTTGGCCAACAGTATGGGTAAATGGTACAAGTTTTGCATGACAAGAAGTGAACAAAGAGAACATTTTTTCGTCCTAATTGCTTTTGCTTCATGACTTTGTGGAATTGAATATGTCCCTTACCCCTTAGTATTTATCTTTCATCCAAATTTTTAGTTTTTCTCCATTGAACTGACTCAGGTGGATGCAGAATTAAACAAAGAATTAGAACAATGGAATGAAATGCTGAAAAATGATGCAATTAAGTTGTGCCTGGAAAACAATTTTAACACAGGCTTCTTTGAAGGCAGTGATAATAATTATGTGGTTGATGCATATGAGCTGAAGGTATGTGTTTGGATTTTCATGAGATTTGTTCACACTGCTACTAGTTTGCTGAAATTTAAATAATTGAAACCCATGCGCTATTTGTTTCTTCTGTTGAACTCATTCATTGTGCCTTTCACATCACATATATAAATATAGGTAAGGCTTGAGCACATTCTTGAGAGAATTGTGTTGATAACGAATGCTGCAAATACAGAAAAACCATCATTGGTTTTAGACAGTCTGTTTATTGGTGGGGCGCTTGCGGCTAGATCTGTATACACTCTGCAACATTTAGGAATTACACATATCTTATGCCTCTGCACCAATGAAATTGGACAGTCAGACTCCCAGTTTCCTGACGTATTTGAGTACAAAAATTTTTCTGTATGTTCTCAAATCTTTTTTCTTTAGCTGTAGAATTTATTCTTTGGATTGATTGATAGATACCAATTATTTAGCATTTATTTTAAAAATAATAATAATAATAATAATGATTTGCTCTTCTGCAAACAGATATGTGACAATGAGGACAGCAACATTAGTGATCTCTTTGAGGAAGCACATGATTTCATTGATCATGTTGAAAAAATAGGCGGGAAGGTTCTTGTTCATTGCTTTGAAGGGAAAAGCCGTAGTGCAGCTGTAGTTCTTGCTTACTTAATGCTGAGAAAGTAAGTTCAGACTGATTGAACTTTTTTGTCAGTTCTCTGTAAGGCAGGCTATATATAATATATGGTGTCAAACTTTCATTATCTAAATCTTTATTCAATTATCCCCTCTATAATAATTGATCTCGAAGCCTTTCCATTGGACAATATATTTTTTTTGTTGGGTGATGTTGTATGCTAAACTTTTGTTTCTTGCAAGAAATTGGTGAGATTAAAATGAAATGTGTGGTGATGCAGAAACTTCACTTTATTGCAAGCATGGAATGCCCTGAAGAGAGTTCACCGTCGTGCCCAACCTAATGATGGTTTTGCAAGGATTCTTTTGGAGCTAGACAAGAAGTTGCATGGTAAGGTTTCGATGGAATGGCAACAACGACGGCCAACAATGAAGGTATGTTCCATCTGTGGGAAGAATGCGGGGCTTAGCAGCAGTTCACTCAAACTTCACCTGCAGAAAGCACATAAGAAGTTATCATCTGGCAGCGTCGATAGTGCAATGACAATGGAAATACAGAAAGCCCTCAATGCGCTAAAACTGAATCGAGGCACAAGTGTGAGCCCACCACCCCCACCAAGGAATTCTCACTCAAACATCATGGGGCTTCAATAGCATGCTTACTGCCACTGGCCTCCTCTTAGTTTCCTGTTTCCTGAAGAAGCTGCAGCCTGCAGCCTGCAGGCAGGCATTCATTTTTGTATCGCCTGCCTGCATACTCTGTGGTTGAGCCGTGTAGGAATTGAAAGTTCAGATTTTTTTTTAGTGACAAGAAAACCCGCAACTACTATTTGAAGGTGTGCATTCGGTAAATCCAGCATGGGTGACTCTAGTCGACAAGGGAACATAATGAGATAAACCAGCTTAGATTGTCCATAGTTGAAGACCACTTCTGTTATGAGTCAAACTTGTAATTTTGTAATTTTGCAATTATCAAGTCAAACAGTTTACATTGTAACTTTAGCCGACAAAGGACACCACAATGAAATAAACTAACTTAAAATTATTATAGTTGACTAGCTCAAACTAAGAAGATCAATAGAACAATCTTGTTAGGAGTTAAATTCATGTAATTTTGTGATTATTAAGTCAATAAATAGCATGTTAACTCTACAGAAACAAATGCTATGAACTGACATTCCTTCCAAGAATGATGAAGGATTAACAAAGAAAGTGATGGCAAATTTCATCCCTAGCACAGGTGTGATTCTTGATTAACGTTAAACTTGGAAGACAGGTAAAAAAAAAAAAAAAAATTACTGATGACTAACTATAATAATAACAATAACAATAATAATAATAATAATAATAATAATAATACTAGTTGGTAAAATCCAATTTAGTAGGGTACATCCATCCAACTCAGAAATGTATGTATGTAATACTACTACTTACTACCAAAGCAAGCAATCAATCCAGTAACAGCTGCCTTTTAACTTTTAACCCAGATCCAGGGAGAGGAGAAAGCAAATACAAAACAAGAAATTCTACTGCCCATTTTGATCTACACAGCAATTGGCTCGGGCGTTGGCTCTGGAGGAGTACCGCTACTTCCATTGAGGACCGTCACGTTACCATCTGAATCTACATCTACTATAACTGAATCCCCTTCTTTGATCTCGCGTGCAAGCATCTTTTCAGCCATGCTATCCTCAAGAAGTCTCATAATGGCTCTTCTTAGTGGCCTCGCCCCGTAGCTTGGGTTATATCCTTCATCCACCACCCTGTCCCTAAACCTCTCAGTCACTTGAAGCTCTATTTCCTTATTCTTAAGTCTCTCGTATACCTCCTTAAGCATGATATCCGCTATTTCCTTCACTTCCAGTTTTGTGAGCTGTCGGAACACAATCATCTCGTCCAATCTGTTCAAGAATTCCGGCCTGAAGTATTGCTTTAGTTCCTCCGTCACCAAGCTCTTGATTCGGTTGTAACTACTATCTTTCTCGTCATACCCGAGATCAAAACCGATGCGACGCCCTCCCTTCTCTATCACACTACTTCCAACGTTCGATGTCATGATTAGAAGTGTGTTCTTGAAGTCCACTGTCCTGCCCTTGCTGTCTGTGAGCCTTCCATCCTCGAGAATTTGAAGCATCATGTTGAAGACATCGGGATGAGCCTTCTCGATCTCATCGAAAAGCACAACAGTGTAAGGCCTACGACGAACAGCCTCGGTCAATTGACCACCTTCAGTGTAACCGACATAACCGGGAGGAGAACCAATCAGCTTTGACACGGTGTGTCTTTCCATGAATTCACTCATATCAAGACGAATCATTGCTTCCTCTGAACCGAAGTAGTAGGCAGCCAACGCCTTGGCCAGTTCAGACTTTCCGACACCAGTTGGACCGGAAAAGATAAAGCTGGCTATAGGGCGGTTGGGGTTCTTAAGCCCAACACGAGCACGTCGAATAGCACGACTAATCGCCTTCACTGCTTCATCTTGGCCAATCACTCGTCTGTGCAATGTTTCTTCCATTTTTAGCAGTCGATCAGATTCATCTGTCGACACCTTCTCAACAGGTATGCCAGTCCATGAAGACACAATGTGCTGAATATCAGCTTCGGTCACAATTGGACCTTCTTCTCCAGCCTCACTTTCAGCCTTGCTCATTTCTTTGTTTTTGTCTATCAACGCCGAGATTTGTGCCTTGAGATCCATTTCCCTGTCACGTAATTCCCCAGCCTAAACGCACACCACAGCACAAATTGGAATCAATTTAAAAATTCATGTTCACTACCAGAATTTTCTTTAAAAATAATTAAGAAGACGACAAACAAGAAAGTACCTTCTCAAAATCTTGACCCCGGACAGCTTCGTTCTTCTCCTTTGTTATCTGCCTTAGCTCTTTCTCAAGTTCTCTTGCTTCCTCGGGAAGCTGGGGGGAAAACACAGCTTCAACAGACAACTCAACGTAGAACTAAACAATAACAGACATATTATAGATTATAGAACAGAACAGGTCCATACCTGGGCATGGCGCAGTCTAACACGAGAACCAGCCTCATCAACCAAATCAATTGCTTTATCAGGCAGGAAACGGTCACTGTAAAATTTTACAAGACCCGAGGTATCATCAAAAACATGGAGCCATAAAAGGTAAAACGGTAAATCCAGTTATTATGGTCTAAAAATGCTCACATCTTCATCATGTGAGTGTGGGGTAATACATACAATTAAAAAAAAATGATGTTTTTTATAACGTTCCCTGAGAAAAACAATAAGCCATGTACCTGATGTACTGATATGAAAGCTGTGCAGCAGCAACCAGTGCCTCATCTGTATAACGCAGCTTGTGATGGATTTCGTAACGCTCCCTAAGCCCTTTCAGGATCTGTATGGTTTCATCCACAGTTGGTTCAGGGACCTTAACTGGTTGGAATCTTCTCTCTAGTGCCGGATCCTTCTCAATATGCTTGCGGTATTCATCGAGTGTTGTAGCACCAATGCACTGATAGTTGAATGAATTGCTATAATATTAGAATAATATGCAACAAGGATTTCTGAATTGCTAGTTTCATTTGATTTCTAAACTCAGTTCACAAATCAAGTCAGCACTTTTTTCCCAAGAAGATACAACAATTTCAGGAAAGAAAGCACTTGGACCCCAAATAGCAAGATACGAAGAAATCAATCTCGCTTCCAATATCTATTTCTATTTTGTCCCTCTATTACTAACCTGAAGTTCACCTCGAGCAAGAGCAGGTTTCAAAATATTTGCTGCATCAATTGCCCCTTCCGCTGCTCCAGCACCAATCAATGTGTGTACTTCATCAATAAACAGTATAATCTCATCACTCTGTTTAATTTCTTCCATCAGCTTCTTTAGCCTCTCCTCAAACTCTCCACGATATTTTGTCCCAGCAACAAGAAGACCCATATCCAGGGTAATAACCTACACTCACCAAAATCAAGAGGCATTGATACCATGTCAAAAGATAAATTTAACATCTATGAGCCTGCAAAGTTCAAAATGATACAATAAAGGAAAAAAGTACAAAATAGAAAAGCAAAACACAAAAACACCCTTTATGTGATCACAGAAAGCAGATAAATATGTTAAAGAACAAGAACAACACCAAAATGATGCTGTCTGTGGAAGTGTTCATATTTTTGAAGAGCAAATTAGACTCCAGGTACGATACGTCTGCTAGAGATACACAGGACCACTGGTGACTAGTGTAAGATCGGAAATACTCTCTGCAATTGGTTTTGATAACTAAAACAATAGCATACCTTCTTTCCCTCAATTGTTTCAGGAACATCACCATTAGCAATTCGTTGAGCTAAGCCTTCAGCAATAGCCGTTTTCCCAACACCTGGTTCTCCAATAAGGCAAGGATTGTTCTTTGTACGCCGACCCAAAATTTGAGTTACCCGCTCAATTTGATCCTGCCTTCCAACTACAGGATCCAGTTTTCCCTAAAGGTACAAAATTGACCATCTTAGGATACCTTCACTAACATTCCAAGAATATACAATTTTTTTTTTTGAAAATTCCAAGAATATACAATTGAAACCTAAAAACTTTTAAACTACCTCCTCAGCTAACTTTGTCAAATTGGTACCATACTCCTCTAATGTCGGCATCTTTTGTCCTGAAGTTCCACCTCCAACAGCAGCACCAACAGCTTCAGCACTCTCACCAACCATTCGGATGACCTACATTTAAAATTAAAAAAAAAAAAAAATAGTAACACCAGTTCAGACTTGGAGAATCCATAAATACATTCATTTCCACCCAGCCCCCTGGGGAACACAAGAGAGAAAGTAAACAATGAGACCATTCAAGACTATAATGCTTGCCTGTGTTCTAATGTTACTTGGGTCAGCACCCAAGTTTTCAAGAACACGAGCAGCCACTCCTTCACCCTCTCGAAGCAATCCAAGAAGCAAGTGCTCTGACCCAATATAGTTATGCCCTAAAAGAAACAACCAAAGTTAGACATGTTGTATCCATAACAAAAAAAAACCCAAAACAAATCACTCTGGTCTATTAAGATGCTTACCAAGTAAAGAAAAAAGAAGTAATCTATAGATACAAGTACAAAATGGTTACCTAGTTGACGGGCTTCCTCTAAAGAGAGTTCCAACACACGCTTTGCACGGGGAGTAAACGGAATCTCAACAGCAACGAAGCCACTGCCCCTTCCAATTATCTTCTCCACCTCCACACGAGCATCTTTTAAATTGATTCCCATGGATTTAAGAACCTTAGCAGCAATTCCAGTTCCCTCACCAATAAGACCCAATAGAATTTGTTCAGTGCCAACAAAATTGTGGCCAAGACGTCTTGCCTCCTCTTGGGCAAGCATAATGACTTTTATTGCTTTCTCAGTGAAGCGCTCAAACATAGCTTTAACAACAGCACGGCTACCTCTCCCTCGTCTACCAGAAGTTGCAGCAGCTACCTTAGAATGAAGTGTTTGCCCAGAACGTGCCATTGTATCTAAGGCATTGCCACCACGCAATCCAGTAAAACTTCTCAACTTCAAAGAAGGTGACTGTGAACTACAAAGCATTGCAACTACCCTTTTTCCTTTTCCTTTTCCTTTTCCAGATCCCTTGAATTGTCCAATTGCTTCACCAGCAACCAAAGAAGGGATGTTAGTTGACTGAACTAAAACCCTAGCCATGATGCCTCCAAGAGATCTGCATGATGAAAAGGTAAGAGTCAATAAATGTCTCCCAAGCTTTGGGAGCAAGATTCACCATTGAAATTTCAATATCAATAGGTCAACTAAAATTAGATGTTAACTGAAACCGATAAGAGGTATTCTAAGATGATTGACCAGTCTGCATACCAAACAATAGGAATGCATTAAGAATTACATATTTATCCGTTACACAGGTAGATCAAAGAAAGGATATAAGAAAACTGAGAATGCATATGGGTGTCACAAAACATGTGGAGCAACTAGGTTTCTCCATTTACCATCTTGACAATGAGAAAATAAACCTGAATTTCAGAAAGAAAGACTACCCATATCCAGATATATCCTATATACAACTTCCTTGAAATCGAAACTCAAGCAGTTTGACTTAATAACATGTAAATTTCATACACTTGTTGACCCTCCATTCCCTTATCCTTATAAAAAAATAAAAATAAAAACTCTAAAGCACCCATTTCTAACTACAAGTAAAGAACATCCATATATATATATATATAGAAACAAAGGCAACTTTAGCTCGAAAACTACGAGGTAAAATTTCCAACACATTCATATTCCTTCCAACCAACACGCCATACAGCATAGTAAATAAACAATATGAATAAAAGGGCAACCCAAGTTTCCATAAGTAATGGATAGGACCTTCAAAGTTACAATCTTTAATCTTATCCAACAGCTAAAGAACACAAATCAAAAAGCTCGACAGAAATCCTGAAGAAATCCCTAATCCCACCACTCAAATCAGAATTATACTAAAACCAAACCTCAATCCACCATACCAATACGCATACAAATACACATACACCTACCCACACACATAAGAAGCACAAATAAAGATAAAACAGGTCGGTAAATGGCTCTCACCCGGATCACAATATGAAAAAATCAGGAGAGAGAAAGAAAGAGAGAGAGAGAGCGAGCGAAGGGGAAAAGAGGAGAGGGGAAGGATAATATGGAAGATAGAGAGATGATGATATAGATACACACATGTTTTTAAAGCATTTCCTGCTACTTCTACATCATTGGTTTTGCACACGCTACCCCCATCCACTACCGTGGGTCGCCGATACACACAAAAAAATGAAAAATCTTGTCTGCCTCTTACGTCACCCATCAACACCTGACTAGACGGATTTTCAGCCGTTCGATTTGATTACTTTTAGTCAAACCTGACTAGATTTTTTTTTTCAATTTTCCTACATTTCCTTATCGCGTAATAGCCAATCAAGTAAAAGAATATTTTCGGATTTGATGTTATAAAAATACTTATTTACACATCAGGACCCATTATTTCCTTTTTTTTTTTTTTGTTAAACAACCATTATTTAAAAGAATGTAAAATTACCTGATGTGTTTGGTTAAAGTTATAAAAATGTAATATTAACTTGTTTGTTGGAGATTATATTTTAGATTATATTACATCAATTACCTAAATGCTCTCAAAGAAAATGAGCAACCTAAATCTCTTTTTTTTCCCATAATTAATAATAATAATAATAATATTATTATTATTATTATTATTTTGAAATGAAGATTATTATTATTATTATTATTATTATTATTATTATTATTATTATTATTATAACCTGCAAAAAAAAAAAATTAAAACTTGCAAAAAATTAAAGCATGCAACATGTAGTTAAGATAACAAAACAGGAGAAGGAAAATACTCAGATTACCATGTTTGGTTTACGTCATCTGAGATGGAAGGTAATGCAACATTACTGCCACGTAAGATATATAGTAATGTTGGAAGTAATCTGATTACCGAATTTTTATTAGGTAATGTGATATTACTTTTCAATATTCCAAAATTGCCCTTGTTTATTCTTCTTTTATTCATCAGATTGAGAGACGCTCCACCAAGCTACGAAACTCCATCCTACTGTATTTAAGTAATTGATGTTATATACCCTAAAATATATCTTACACCTTTCAATTTATATGAGGGCATTTAAATAATTGATGTAATATACCCTAAAATATACCCTTTAACCAAACAAGCTAATGTTACATTCCTGCAACTTTAACCAAACACATCAGGTAATCTTACATTCTCAAAATCTTACATTACCTTCCCGTGAACCAAATGCTCCCTCGATGGGTTTGTTAATGGCGTGCGTACTACGATTGACGGTAAAGGTGGAATATTGAAAAGTAATATCACATTACCTAAAGGAAACTCAATAATCAAATCACCTCAAATCCTACACGGCAGACATGTTTTATTACTTTTAATTTCAAATTACTTGAACCAAACAATGTAATCTCATATTACCTTTCTTAAATTACAAGGATAATCTGAAATCCCTTGAACCAAACCCCCCTTAGTTAAGATCTCCAATTCTTGCGAATTGCAATTCAATTCATTCCATCTAAATTTTACTTTTTTATCCTTGAAATTCATACAAAAATTTTATGCATACAATGTGTCAATATATGATATCCTTGTAAAATTAAGAGTTGATTTTATTTTTGGTTTTAAATTTATAGGTAACAATTCATTTTTAGTCTTTTTTTTTTTCAAATTATCATTATTTGGTCGTAGTATTATTGTGGTATGACTATGTTTGGTCCTCCATCAACAAAATCGTTTAAATTTCATAAAATACAATGGTATTTACTATTTAGGTCATTAATTATAATTTTTTTTCAAAAAAATATAAATAAAAATATAGTGGGTTAATCCACTTTGTATAAAAATTAAAAATAATCAAAATTGTCTTGTATTTAACGATATTTCAACAATTTTGCTGATGGAAGATAAAAAAAAAAAAAAAAAAAAAAAAAAGTCATGCTACAATAATACTAGGACTAAAGAGTGATGTTTTGAAAAAGAATGACTAAATGTGGACTGTCACCTATAAATCTAAAACAAAAAATGAAATTAACTTTAAAACTAATTAAAATTCAATATGAATCATGCTTGCAAAGTTTTAGTCTTACTTGATAAACGATTTTATAATAACTTAAAACAAATTTAGTTAGTGAGATTTTTTTTTAGTACTACTAACTCCTATTACAATGAAATATCTATTTATAATTATTTTTTTCAATCAAAGAGTCAATATCATATCTACTGAGGCTCGAACTCAAAACCTCATATAGAAGAACAACTTAGTATCACTAGACCACAAGATCCTTATTTGATTTCTTTTAAATTTCTTAGTAGCGAAATTCATGAAATTTACATTTTTAACTCCCTTTCGCAATTAAAAAAAAAATCATTTTGTTTGTCTTGTTTACTATTTATTAGTTAAATCAATTCTTTAATTTTTACTTATTTTATTTACTATTTTCTTAATATTCTTAAATTTGATTGTTTGTGTTTAATAGTACTTCCAATTTACGGAGGAAGAATTTTTAAATATATAAATTATATATATTAATGTTAAGCTTAAATTATTAAAAAAAAATTGTAAAAAACTTCATTTAGGTCTAGTTAATTAAAGAGTTAATTCCATTTGTTTTCAAAAAAAAAAAAAAAAAAAAGAGTTAATTCCATTTATGTTCACACATACTTTCTCAACTTAGTGAAACACAAAGAGTCAATACCCACACATTGGGGTTCAAACCTGAGACCTCTCATTTGAGAAGTCACAGCTACGCTACTAGACCACAAGGCGTTTGGCAGTCCACTTTTAGACTTTTTTTTATGGAACATCCTCATTTGGTCCTAGTATTATTGTGACATGACCATTTTTTGTCCTCCGTCAGGAAAATCATTGAAATGTCGTTAAATACAAGGACATTTTTCGATTTTTTTTTATACAAAGTAAGTTGCACCAGCTATATTTTTTAATGTTTATTTTTTGGAAAAAAAAAATCAAAATTGAAGACTGAAATGATCTTTATTTGACGAAATTTAAACTGCTTTGTTGATGGAGAACAAAAAATGGTCCTGCCACAATAATACTAGGATCAAAAGTGGATATTTTGAAAAAAAAAAAAGAAACTAAAAATGGACTGCTACTTATAAATTTATGACCAAAAATAGAATTAACTCTTAATTAAATTGTGCACATAAAATAAACAGCAAAGTATTATACATTCCTATCATTCTACCATTGCAGAATATATATATATATATATATATATATATATATATATATATATATATATATATATATATATATATATATAAGAGCGCTCATATGTGGTCATGTCATTAGGTGTGGCGATATGATCGTATTTGTCGTTGAATCAGTTTAATCTAACGGCAATGGCTAATTATGAGGATTTGGGGATTTTCGCGCGTGGGGGTGTTATTTTTAATTACAGTGACCATTTATAGTGGGCGGATTTCAGAGTACACCAACAATGTTGACAACATGCACCAATAGTGTAATAAAACACACCACAGTGAAATACGCCAATAGTGTATTCCCGGACACTGTATGGTGTATTTATTCATATCTAATGACGCATTTTTGGTGATGAGTACCCAATTTATGTATGTTTTGTGTTGTGCATTTCATAACATGGATTGTGCATATTTGTATAACAATTGGTGCGGCCGCACTGACCACACGGGAAGGCGTTGCCGCACCTGAACTTGGCACCAATGAGAATCTACAAATATACCAGAGTAAGGCTAATAATGCACCAACTACACAAATAAAACACACAACAATGTGATTTTCCCTACGCCGCGAAAATACTAGAAGAATCTTGATTAATGTGATTCGAACCCAAGATCTATTAATTAACAAACCTATGCACACGACATACAAATCATGGCACACGACTACATTCGGTCATGCACACGACATACAGACTAATGGCACACGACTACATCAGTCCTCACAATCCTCTTAAAAATAAAACACGGTGGCGTGAGTTTTGTGCTTAAGGTGCGTGGGTTTTGTGTGTGAGTTTTGTGCTTAAGGTGCGTGGATTTTGTGCTTAAGGTGCGTGTGTTTTGTACTTAATGTGAGTAGTTGTTGAAACTTAAGGTGTGTGAGTTTTGTACTTAAGGTGCGTGTGTTTTTTGCTTAAGGTGTGTCGTGTTTCTTCTTCGTGCACCCTTCTCTGTGAGTCACGGGTAGTTCAGACCCTCAAGAAGAACAAAACTTTTGAACTGAGGGGTGGTTCAGACCCTCACGAACAAAACTTTTCAACAAAACTTAAGGTGCGTTGTTCTAATACTTAAGGTGCGTGTTTCTATCACTTAATGTGCGCCATTTTTAGCTCATTTCTTCCAGACACGCGTTTTTTTTTTAAAAAATTTTCATTGATTTGAGCCGGTTATTTAGATTTTAATGTTTAAGGTGCGTCAACGACACAACCGCACATGAAGCTTTTACCACACCTGAACTCTTCCATATATATATATATATATATATATATATATATATATATATATATATATATATATATATATGGAGGGCTTATAGTAAGAACCACTGTATAGGTAGGAACGTAAGAACTAATCCAAGCCTATGAATCTTACCCAATCAATGATTTTGTAACAACCAAAAATTTCATTTTATAAATCCGGTATTAAAAAAATCCCAAAATAGTCTTTTTCACTCCATTAAAAATTTTTGCGATCAATTGGTGTTTGAATAAAATATTTTTGTCACATTTTAAATTAATTCAACACCAAAGATGGATTCTATTCGAAATTCCTAAGTTTTCGGGTACTTCGCGTACCAAGATTTAAATTGAGAAATTTATCTGAGTGAGACCGGGAGAATTCAAAAGGATTTTAAACAAGTGTTCATCCAAATAGTTTTTGAGAAAATTCACTTTCAACCCCAAAGTATTTAAAGATAGAATTTCTAGCCTATGGTTCATGTTGCATGGTGGACCATTAGGCATCCAAAATTACTTTCCCTGATTCATCTTTTAGCTTGTGGAATTACTCCTTTGCCCTTAACCAATCATTGATGATCAACCTAGGGTTTTGAACCCTATATAAATCACATTATTCCATCTTGATTCCCTGATCTCTTTCTTTGCCTCTCCACACCATTTGTCTGCCAAGAAGAAAGGAGAA